ACTATTCTGTTATGTTTTTAATTTTTTTTGGCTTCTCGCTAACAGTACAACAGCATCTGCGTATGCTAATGCTTGGTGGGATCTGTTGATCAGGGATCCATATCTGTTTATTTCACTGTTTCTGATGACTATTTCAAGGGTTAAGTTAAAAACAAGGGTGGATAATGGGTCTCCCTGCCTAAGCACGTTTTGAATTTCAAATTCTTTGCTTTCCACATCTTTTACTCTTATTACACACCTTGTATTTTCCAGGGTTATGTTCGTTAGTTTTACAAGTTTAAGAGGTATTTTTAGTTCTTTCAAAGCATTTACCAATTTTCGTCGATTTACTGTATCATATGCGCTTTTAAAATCAATAAATATAATATGGGTTGGTATTTCGTATTTGTAGCAACATGTGAGTACTTGTTTTAAAATAAAGATTTAGTCAGTCGTTGGCCTGCTTTTTCTAAAGCCGCATTGGTATTCTCCGATAATTTTTTCTCCTTCTACTTCTATTCTTCTTTTTATTAACGTGGCTAGTACCTTATATGTAACGTCCAGCAAAGCTATACCTCGATAGTTTTCACACTTTCTTATATATTGGTAGTATTACTGCTTTCCTCCAATTTAGTGGCATTTCTTCCGCTTTCCATATTTCTTTGATTAGTTGTATTATTTCTGTTATTAGTTGTTGTCCTCCATATTTTAGGTTCTCTGCGGTAATTTTGTTTGATTCGGGGCTTTTATTATTCTTCATATTTGAAATAATTTCTATTATCTCTTCTTCTGTGGGTTCCTCAGCGGTGTACATAGGGTTTTCATTTGCTTCTTCTTCCTCTTTTGGTACTTCTTCTTTTGGTACTTCTTCTTCTACTTTCTGCCGTTCAGGTTCATCTTTCAGTAATTTTTGGAAGTATTGTTTTCATCTTTGTATTTGCTCGCTTTTAGTCCTATTATTTTATATTATAAATATTATTTTTACAAAACTGAAAACTTTGATGAAAAAACAGACATACTAATTAACAAAATAAATGACTCGATAACAAATGGAACTATCCAAAGCAATTATTTTAATAAGTTCAAAAAAAGGCAAACGTGGAATACAAGGTCTGATGAAATCGGCAAAACACAAAGAAATTTTATGTCTTGTTCAAAAAAATAATCCGGAAAATGAGGAAAAAGACTAAAATATAACAGATATAAAAATAAATTTAATAAACTTATAAAAAAACTAAAGATTATTTTAAAGATAGTAAAATTCTATGGAAAACCGGAAATACCTACGTTGGAAAACAACCTGAACAAAATGATAGAATTGAAATAGATAAAAACAATGTTAAACTGACTGAAAAAACAAAAGATGTAGCAAACTATTTCAATGAGTAATTTTATAATGTAGGTAAAACCTTGGCAGAAAAAATTAAAAACCAAATATGACATGGAATAGAAAACATAGTTGCCACTCGGCTTTTTTTCTTCCAACTTGTGAACAGTAAATAGAAATGCCATAAAAGATCTAAAACCGAAAAAAGCACCATGAAAAGACGGAATAACTATTGAACGCTTATTACTTATTAAGGAATTTATAGAGAAACCTCTTCTTATTTAGTAAATGAAATATTTCTAAAGGGTCAATTTCCAGGACCTCTAAAATCGGGTTTAATTAAGCCTCTACACAATTATAGACCAGTATCATTAATAACAAATATTACTATTCATTTAAAATAAAATATTCAAAATATTCAAAATGAACATTTTAGGTTACTCAATATAAAATAAAATAGACAAAATGTGTTGACATTGATATAAAAAAAAACAGTGAAATACAGGGTGTCCCAAAATTCCGTGTACATAGATCTACTGTATGTTGGTGAGATCAAAATAAGTCGATTGAGCCAAAATTACCTATATCACAAAGTCCATCGTTTGCCTGTGAGGAAGCTTCAAAGTTGGAAGAAAATTTTCAATTTTTTTTAATAACACAAAAACGCTTCGTTCGATTTTTATAAAATTTGGTGTGTAGCTATTTTAATTAAAGAGCCATTGTTCAAAGCAAAAATTACACCAACTGAAATTATGGAAGGGTAAAAACCACCCTAATCCTACCAGCTGGATAGCTGTTTTCATTTGTAGCATTTTTTCTCTCTTGCAAAAAACATATATCTCTCATGGTATTTGAGTAAAAAAAAATTTATGGACTGATGGTTAGTCACTTAAAATTTTCAAGAAAACTAAGTTGGCGGTTACTACTGCAACCCGAACACGATTTTAACGTTATTACAATAAAACAATCATTAATAGGCATAGGTATCTATTGAAAAATAACAATTCGAAAAGAAGGATAAATTTTGTTTACAATAAATGTTCAATATGGCCACCTCCTTCGTTCATGCAGATTTCAATTCGGCGCAAGAAATTGAAGTGTACCCTTCTCAAAATGCCTAGATCATTTCGCATAGAGTTCACAGCAGTTTGAATCATACCCCATAATTGTTCAATGTTGTCGATAGGAACTTCATAAACTTTGGTTTTCAAGTGACCCCAGATAAAATAATCACAAGGATTACAGTCCGGTGATCGAGGTGGCCACTGAATAGGAGCATCCCGACCTCTGCTAATCCATCTTCAATGGTATTGTTCGTTTAAATAATTTCTCACAATGCGGGAAAAATGAGGTGGTGCACCATCGTGCATAAAAAACATGTCACAGCGTAAATTGAGCGGTAAATCTTCTAACAGTTGAGGCAAATCTTGACGTAGAAAATGCAAGTAACTGTCACCGTTAAGACGATCTGGTAATCTAAATGGACCAATCAAGTAGGTGTCAATAATACCCACGCACACATTAATTTTAAACTCTCGTTGAAAGTGTTTCTCTTTAATGGCATGTGGATTTTCATCTGCGTAAACATGTTCGTTATGTGAATTTGTTATACAACGTCGTGTAAAGCATGACTCGTCTGTAAACAAAATTTTTCTGTGAAAAACTGGATCGGCCGCTCTGTGCTCTTGAATAACTTGTACAAAATGCAAACCAGACTCATAATCAGGAGGTAGGAGTTCCTGGACACTGAATGTGAAAGAGATACATAAGTTGTTCTCTAATTATTCTGTTGGATGTGCTTTTTGAAATTCTAGTTTGGCGTGCCAGTCGTCGGGTAATAAATCCGGGATTATTTTCAACTATTTCAAGTATTCCCTCCTCTGCAGCAGGAGTTCTAACATGACGAGGTCTTTCAGCATTATTTGTGTTCGGTTTCAGTTGACCAATTTCTCGAAGTCGCCTCTCGATAGAAGTAAAAGTCTGGTGATTCGGAATCTGTCGATTTGGAAATCTTTCATGGTATACCCGAACACTCTCACGGCAGTTGCCATTACAGAAACCAAGCACTAGCAACATATCAGTTTGTTCATTGAATGTGTACTCCATACCAACCACAAAATGTTTGAAATAACTCCTTCACAAAAACTTTAAATCGAAACAGAAAAAATACAATACATACATAAAATGAGTAGTATCGACAATTTTTACAGTTCTACAACATACATATCTGTCAAAATTATCAAATTGTTTATAGTAACGTTGACAACCGTCAACTTAGTTTTCTTGAAAATTTTAAGTGACTAACCCTCAGTCCATAAATTTTTTTTTACTCAAATATCATGAGAGGTACATGTTTTTTGCAACAGAGAAAAAACGCTACAAATAAATATAGCTCTACACAAAAAAAATTTAGGGAACATTTATAGTAGGATTAGGGTGGTTTTTACCCTTCCATAATTTCAGTTGGTGTAATTTTTGCTTGGAACAATGGCTCTTCAATTAAAATAGCTACACACCAAATTTTATAAAAATCGAACGAAGAGTTTTTGTGTTATTGAAAAAAAATTGAAAATTTTCTTCCAACTTTGAAGCTCCCTCACAGGCAAACGATGGACTTTATGATATAGGTAATTTTGGCTCAATCGACTTATTTTGATCTCACCAACATACAGTAGATCTATGTACACGAAATTTTGGGACACCCTGTATATTAAAGAAACCATACACTAGCCATACATGCTTCTATGGATTTTATATTTATTTCCGTTCATTTTATATACATGTGTATCTGGAAAAGTGTAATTTAATTGGAAATAAATATTATTATATCAAAATTCATCAATTAACGAGATCTCCCTGGGACAAAGCGTGTCGGTCGAATACACTAACACCCTGTATAAAGTAGGTATAATTTTGTGCAATTTTCGTGCACTATTCGCGATTTTTGTACTTTTGAATATATTTTAAATTTAAAGTTGTGTTAGCTTAAAACCAACTCTGTTATTTATCACTTGATTTTAATCAAACTAATGTCATAAATTTGTATGTTTTTTTTGCAAATTATATATGTAAAATAAATTATCAATTTGAATATATAGTATTTCGACAATTAAAAAAAAAAATCGTAAAGCTTTTTTTTTTAGTAAACTGTATAGAAACCATTGAAAATTTTGTTTACATTTTATTAGTTTTTTGAATTTCATGCATTCTCCGATATACTATCTCATATAACATCTAACGTAAATACTTGTTTGCTTTTTCATAATTTGCACAAAACAACGCACAAAATTATGATTAAAGATAGCACAACATATTTAAATAGTAAAAATAGACTTACGATATCTTGGGTTTAAGTCTACAGCAAAACTTTTAATTTAAAAAAATATAAATGCCCAAAAATAGCGATTAGCATACAAAAAAATGCACAAAATTATAGATAAGATCCGAATAGGTAGTTTTTATTTTTTATTATTAATTATGTTATTATTCAACTTTTTCATGCCACCTTTAGTTGGGTTTTCGTCTCGTTCTAATACTTTTAAATGTTATATCTAAGTTGTTCCATTTGTATCGATGTCTTGTGTCTTTTTATTGTGAGTTTTGCAATTTACATTTTAAGTATAAACAAAGAACTCTTTATAATAAATTGTTGAAATTTATTAAACAAACTTATTACCAACTGTTTTTTCAACAGGAACTGATCCTACTCCCGAACAATGGGACCAAATTTCAGACGTTATAAAAGAACGAACATTATTCCCATTCTTTGACTGCGCTTATCAAGGTTTCGCTTCCGGGAATCTGGAAAAGGATGCATTTGCAGTACGAAGGTTCGCTTCACTGGGATTTGAATTCTTCTGTGCCCAGAGTTTTGCCAAAAATTTTGGACTCTATAGTAAGTGTATTAAAATAAATCATTAAAAAAATGAAATATAAGAAAAACGCGCAAAAACGATAATATTTCTGTAAAAATCATGCGCTGTATACAATTTCTGTGTAAAGCGCATGATTTGTACCGTAATATTAACGTTTCCGCGCGTTTGGAACAAATCTATTAATTCGTTTAACTTTTCGTACACAAATCCAGACCCGGATTAAGATTTTGTAATTCTATATTTTATTTTGAGTTTTTTTCAAAAAGTTATTTGAAAAAAATGTTTTGCTTGCATCAAAATTGTGATTAAATTAATAATAATTTTAGATGAACGTGTTGGAAACTTGACCGTAGTTATTAACAATCCAGAATTAATACCTGCCACGAAGTCACAATTTACTCTCATAGTAAGAGGAATGTACTCAAATCCTCCATCTCATGGTGCTAGAATAGTCGAATCTGTTCTCAGTAACCCCGAGTTATTGAGCCAATGGTATGTTTCATATTCTTTTACTGCAATTTTAGATGCAATATATAAAAAAAGTTAAAAAAAATTACATATATTTTCAATCTCAAAATAATTAAGTATTTTTTCTTTCTTTTTTGTTGTACAATTTTTGTTTTGTTGGATTATTTTTTGCTATGTTTAGTAAATTTGACAAATTATTGTTACCAAAAATTTATTTTGGCATTTTTTATTTGATCTTATACGCAACTCAATTTTTTTTATTATTATTTTAGGGAGGATCACATTAAAACTATGTCTTCAAGAATTATCGATATGAGAAAGCAATTAAGAGAGGCTTTAGAACAACTTGATACTCCCGGCGATTGGAGCCATCTTACTAAACACATAGGCATGTTTTCCTATACAGGTCTAAATGGTAAGTGCTTCTGAAACATTTTATTCAAATGTAAATTTGCTATTAAAACAAAAAAAAACAAACAACACAACAAACAAAAAAAAAACAAAAAAAACTATATTGATAGTGAGTTTCAATTTTATTCTAATGTTGCTTTTTCTAAATTGTGGGGTAGCATTTTTATCACTTTTTTTTTTGGAATATTTTTGCCCTGGTATGAAAAATATGAGGAGTGAATTAATAAAAAAACACATTTTGATATCCTGACACCTTGACAACATCTCGATGTTCCGATAAATTAAAATTGATAAAAATAAATAAATAAAAATAATATAAATACGAATAAAAATAATTAAAAATAACTAAAAAATAATTTAAAATTACTAAAAAATAACTAAAAATAACTAAAAATAACCAAAAATAACTAAACATAACGAAAAATAACTAAAAATATCTAAAAATAACCGACTAAAAATATTTAAAAATTGTAACGCGAGGACGTTTCGATTTTATTTTCTTTATTTAATATTTTTCTATAGTTCTTATGTTTTATTTATTAAATAAACATACTTACCAAGTTCTAAAAAATAATTAAATAAAACTACATAAAATAAATAAAAATAAATGAATAAAAATAAATTCGAATAAATTTAAGTAAATATAAAAATAAATAAAAATTAATTAAAATATATAAAATAAATAAATTAAAATACGTAAAATGAATAAAAATAAATTCAAATAAATTCGAATAAATTTAAATAAATATAAATTAAAATAAACTAAAATAAATTGAAATAAATTAAAATTAAATAAAAATAGATAAATAAATTCGAATAAATTTAAATAAAAATTAAAAATAAATAAAAACAAAAAAATAAATAAAAACAAAAAAAAATAAATAAAAATACATAAAATGAATAAATTCGAATAAATTAAAAAATATATAAAGATTCAAATACATTATTTCGAGGTGGAAACCACTAAGGTCAAAGGTACCTCGAAAACCACCTACTTTAATTTTATACAATGACTCTTTTTAACTATTCCCTTGTCTTTTGACGCACAAGCTGCTGCGTTTACGTTTTCGAGTGACGAATTGATTTCGAAGTGAAATAAATAATAAAAATAATTCAATAAAAATACATAAAATGAATAAAAATATATTCAAATGAATTCGAATAAATTTAAATAAAAATAAATACATAAAAACAAATAAATATAAATAAAAATATATAAAATGAATAAATTTGAATAAATTTAAAAAAATTAAATAGATTCAAATACATTATTTTGAGAGGGAAACCACTAAGGTCAAAGGTACCCCGGAAATCACCTACTTTAATTTTATACGATGACTTTTTTTAACTATTCCTTGTCTTTTGATCCACAAGTTGCTGCGGTTACGTTTTCGTGTGACGAATTAATTTCGAAGTGATTTCGGCGATAATTTCGACCATGATTTAACTTATTTATAAATTACATCATTCATTGTTTTCAGTGTGGCAAAGTACTATTGTTTGCAGATGATTTAAAAGTTTTCCTAGTTATTAAAACCATAATTTATGATGCCCTCTGGCTTCAATCTGACCTTGATAATCTATCAAACTGGTGTTCCTTAAATGGCATGGACTTGAATGCCATAAAATGCCATGCCATGCGCTTTTATCGATCCCATGCACCAATTACTACTTTTGATTATAACTGAAATGGTCATATCTTGGAGTCTATTAAACAAATTAAAGACCTTAAGTTATTCTAGATCCCACTTTAAGCTTCAACCAACACATACCTATCCATAAATCCATGAAAATGTTAGATTTGATCAAAAGGCATGATTTTACTGACACAACTGCAATTAAAATCCTTTATTGTTCACTAATCCGACCTCACCTAGATTATTGCTCTTCTGTCTGTTCTCTACATTACATAACGCATAGCAGAAACATAGAAAATGTGCAACATAAATTTCTTAGATACATAGCCTATAAATTGGGTGTCCTTTGCGAGTATGGTTTGATAGAAAATTTTCTAAACATCCCTTCTTTGGAAACTAAGAGGAAACAGAGAGACCTGATATGGTAAAGTGTAAGTAGTTTTTTAATAGATTTTGAGGAAATTTTTGCCGACATTTATACACAATTTGATGAAATTATTTGTGGTGGTGACGTAAACATTGATTTTTTAGATAGTACTTGTAATAATGTATTAAAATTTAATAATTGCATAGATTTATTTAATATGCAGCAAGTCATAAATGAACCTACAAGAATTACAGCAACTACTGAAAGCCTCATTGACATTATATTAATCTCAAATCAATATACATCTTTCAGTCACGGTAATAAGGAAATATATATATCATCAGATCACCAACTTGTTTATTGTATATTAGATTTTGAAATTGATGAAGGTGACGAAATAATTTATAGTAGAAATCTAAAAGGTGTTGACAGAAATATGTTACAAAATTTTTTGTATGTTACCCCCTTTGAAGAAATCTTCCATATGCAGGACATTAATGATAAAGTCTCGTATTTTAATCATTTATTAACTGGTTTATTTGATACAATCGCTCCCTTACGAGAAACGAGGCTAAAAAAACCTAGACCTCCTTGGTTTACAGACAATATTAAATTACTATTAAAATTAAGAGATAATGCCCTTAGCAAGTATAAAAAAACAAAAAATCTGACACATTATGAATATTATAAACAATTAAAAAATTTTACTACGGTGGCTATTAGAAATGAAAAGAAAGGTTATCTAAAATATTGCGTTGATACATTTGGTAGAAACAGCCGTATTATGTGGCAAAAACTTAAGAATTTAAATATAAATTCTAAACCTGCGAAATCCAAGTTACCTGAAAACCTAAATGTTCCTAATGACATAAACAATCACTTTTTATTGGCAACTGGTAACTGTGCCGATGCTGACCAAGATTTACTTCTTTTCTATACTAATAATTTTAAAGACAACTTCCGTAACTTGCTAAGTTTTACAACAGTTAATCAAAATACTATCTATAAGTATTTAAACGAAATTAAAACGCAGGCTATAGGAATTGATGGATTGCAAATTAATATGCTCCTTATGTGTTGTCCGTATATTTTAATTTTCATTACGAATATTGTTAATTCCTGTATAAAGGAATCTTTTTTTCCAGGCCTTTGGAAAGTCACAAAAGTTTTCCCATTGCCTAAAAAGAACAATATTAGTAGCTTTAGTGAATTACGACCCATTTCAATCTTATCAGTGTTATCAAAAGTTCTGGAAAAAGTAATTAAATATCAGATAGAGTCTCACATCAACAATTACAATATTTTACCAATCAGCCAATCTGGTTTCAGACGTGGCTACAGCTGTACTTCAGCATTATTAGAGGTCACTGATGATATCTTTAGGGATATAGACAAAGGGTATACAAACGTTTTAATACTTCTAGATTATACAAAAGCCTTTGATACAATTAACCATCAGCTTCTGTTTAGTATTCTTCACTATGTTGGTTTTTCGGTTAAAGCAACTGAATTTATTAAAAACTATCTTTCCGATCGTTCACAGTTTGTTGAAACAAGTGCCGGTAGATCTGATATTAAAAATATTGCCTGCGGTGTGCCACAGGGCTCTATTTTGGGACCAATTTTGTTTTGCAATTACTCTACTAATATTAGTTCGGCTCTTACCAATGGCAGAGTTTATATATATGCTGATGATACGCAAATAAGGTTTTCTTTGTCTGATTTTAATGTTGCTCTTACTAATGAACTGATTAACTCAGAATTAATAAAAATCGTAAATTTTTCTAACAGACATCAGCTAACTATCAATCCCGCAAAAACACAAATACTCGTCTTTGGAAAAAATAAAAAAGAACTAGCAGAACATTTATCTGTGAGTATTGATGGTGTCTTGGTGGCTTGTGTAGATGTTGCCAAAAATCTGGGTCTTCATCTTGATACTGACTTAAAATTTAAAAGCCATGTAAATAATTGTATAAAAAGGGCTTACGCTAATTTGAAAATGCTTTACCCGCATCGCCATGTTTTAGATCAAAATATAAAAATACCTCTTTGTGATACTATGGTTCTCAGTCATTTTAATTACTGCGATGTCGTCTACGGGCCTTGTGTTGACTATGTGGATATTAATCGTATTCAAAGAGTACAAAATTCTTGTCTTCGCTACATATATGGTATAAAAAAATACGAAAGGATAAGTCACAAACTAATTGAAACTAACTGGTTAAATATGGAAACTAGAAGGAATTTACACATGGTAACATTGTATCATAAGATCATTTCATTAAAGTCGCCTCCTTATCTCTATAATAAAATTACATTTCGAAGTGATGTGCATACAAGGTTTAGAGGGCATATATCTCCACCTCTCCATCGTACCTCCAAATTTCAAGGTTCATTCTCTTATATGATATTTAAACTATATAACCTGGTTCCTCCTAAACTCAAACATCTTTCGACAAATATGTTTAAGCAAAAGTATAAACATCTCTTGATGTCAGAAAATATCTAGTCAAAACAACCATTAGATATTATAATAAAATGTAATATTACATTTATAAAATGTGTATTTATATTTTTGTCTCGATTGTGCCACACTTTATTCGTTGTATTTTATTATTTTAATATTTTTTTTTTCTTTATTAGGGATAGCAATTAATATCAGCTATGCTGTCTGCTATTCCCTTTTTGTAGTATTATACTATTTTGTTCGATAAAATTTATGTATTTAATGCAAATTTACCTGTAATACTGCAAATAAATTATTATTATTATTATTATTATATTACTTTTCAAAATTATCAATGGCAGATGCAGCTGTACTGAACTTCTAATCAAAATAAATCTTTATGTTCCAACCCGCTCAACTCGACAGCAACAAACATTTTATGTACCTTTTTATCCTATAAACCATACATTTAGCAGCTGTATTCCAAGCAAGAATGTAAGATTAGCCAACACTCATAGCGATCTTGAGATATTTAACACCCCCTTTCATAAACTTATAAAAAATTACTTAGTACTGAGCTTTAATCTTTGATCTTTAATTGTGAATGTTTAATGTAAATATTTTATTCAACCTTATTGTCTTTTGTCTTTTTAAATCTTTTAAACTCTACCTATTTTAGTTTATATGTAATGAATTATACCAAGATTGTATTTCAGCACCATATATATTTTACATTTTAATTATAATTTTAAAATTGTAATTTATTTCTCAAATAACCTGGCCCCATGGGCGTCGTTACACAATTCTATAGGGGGGGTGCAAAATTTTTAAAAAATTTAGAATGTTTATTTGTTGGAAAACAAAGGAAATAAAAAATAAGAAAATTTTCTTATGATGGATTTAATTTTTCTGTGACGTCATGACTTACATCTTTTCCAGAAATAACAGAAAATCGCAATTTATTTTTTATTTTTAAATGAAAACCTTTTTTTATTGAAAATTTGAATATCTGGGACATTTTTGGGGCGTATATTGAAAATTTTCTGTAACATATTAAAAAAATATTTTCCAATATGATGGTCATTTTGACAGCTGACAGAAAATTTTCAACACATGATTATTTTCCATAAATGTTCCCGAAATTTAAATTTTCAATAAAAAAGGGGGGTTTCTATTTAAAAATAAATTGAGATTATCTGTTATTTCCGAAAAACCACAAGTAAGCCATGACGTCACACACCAATTAAATCCAGTATATGACAGTATTTATTCCAAGCTTTTAAACAAAAAAGTTTTCATTCCAATATCTCAACAACGAAGATAAAAGCGGATGGAATTATTAAACGGTTTGCTAATAATAAAAATTCTTAGATACGCCACTGGTATACGGTAAATGGAAATTTTGAAGCTTACAAAGATTTTATAAAGATCGTACATTCCTATATTTTTTCCATAAACGAATTAATAGTGACATGTTTAAAAAAAATATTATTCAATATCGCGGCCATTTTAACAGCTGACAGAAAATTTTTAAATACACGATTATTATATAAAAATGTTTAAATTTACAATAAAAGAGAGTGTTTCCATTTAACAATAAAAAAAATTCGATTTTCGTTATTTTCGGAAAAACCGGAAGTAAGCCAGGACGTCACAGAATAATTGAATTCATCATAAGAAAGTGTTTGTTCCACTCTTTCAAACAGAACAAAATTATTCAGATACCTCACTGAATAATAAAGATAAGGGTAGTAGAACTTTAGTAGTAACCCTAACAATGTCACTGACCCATTTGACAGAACTGATACTTAAGTTGTCATAACAAGTCTCTAATAAATAAAATAACCAAACAAAAAAGACAAAAACTAAAATTAAAAAAAAAACAAGAAACTTAAAGCACATTTTTTTAAAAACAAACAGAATGTGTGAATATAAAAGAAAAATATGAACATAATAATATAAAAAATAAAAATTTATAAAAAACAAAAACATAAAAAAACTCACTCAAATATGTCAATGAACACAAAAACACTAGGAAAACGCAAATTTTAAATTTCTTTTTTCTCTACTAAAAACATTGATAACGGAAAACATAATTTATTTTTCAGTCAGCCTATTTTCATTCATTATTCACTCCGTGCGTGACAGCAACGCCAACTATTTTATGAACTAACGGACGATATTTGGATATACTGACAAACTGACAATACAATTTTTAATAGAGTTCGTAATTAAGAAATATATATGTTAATTTTAATTTTAAAACAAGTGAAAAAATTATTATTATTATTATTATTATTATTATATATTTTTATTACTTCAGCTAAAAAAGTCAAAAAAAATTAATAATAAAACATAGGCAAGTATTTACGAGAAAATGTACGAGATCTTGCCTAAGCCTAATAAGTTGTCATTGAAGAATAGGTTAAATAATGTCAAAATAAAAATATTACCATTATACAGTGTGTCTACTTAAGTTGGAACCATATGGAAAACATTTTTATTATTGATTTTAGGAAAAAAGGTTATTCTTGATAAAAAATCCAGCATGACCCAAAACTTAAAATACAGTCATCAGATATCAAATTTTTCAAGCCGTATACGAGGTTTGTCAAAAAATATGAATTTTGCTCAAGAGTAAAGTACGTTTACTTTTTTACAAAATCGAACATTTTCATTAAGAAATTTGCTAAATTCTTCACAAACATCAACAAAAGGAAAGCGTATCATGTTTATAGTAGCTAACGTAATTTATAACGTTTTCAGATATTTACAATCAATGTGTAGAGTGTAAAGTTTATAAAAAATAAGAAAATCTGTTTTTTCAGATATATCGGTGTAATTGCATATTTGAATGTAATATTCAATTCTAATCAACTTTTCTTAATGAAAATTTTCGATTTTGTCAAAAATAAACGTACTTTACTCTTGAGCAAAATTCATATTTTTTGACAAACCTCGTATACGGCTTGAAAAATTTGATATGTGATGACTGTATTTTAGGTTTTGGGTCATGCAGGACTTTTTATCAAGAATAACTTTTTTTCCTAAAATCATAAATAAAAATGTTTTCCATATTGACAAGGGGGGTAGCCATGTAGGATATTGTCAGAAACTCCTCCTGTTTTCTCAACACTAATCTAAATTTATCGATGTAACTTCCTTTTTAACCTCCCCCCTTTATTTCTATTCACATATCTTCTTGCAAGGGGTACATTTCAGTAAGTAATTTTTATATTTTTTATATTTTTTCCCATAAGAAACCAACGAGCACGTGTAAAGATTAGGTTAGATTGTCTGATATCCACATGCGTCATTTCCTTCTTTTATTCTTCAGTTGCTTCACAACAGTTAACCCAGTCATTTCTTCTTCTTTCTTCTTCCTACAACATCACATACACTTGGTGATTGGTTCATGGCCCAAATCTTATATAATAGATAATAAATAATTCTTCACTCATAGTTTTACATCTTATTAACTATACCCTGTCATAAGTTTACTCAAGAATTTTTTCGTTATAATACTTACCACCACCTGTAGAGGCCTTAACTTGACAGGTCTCCTTTCAAAAAATGTTAGTTTTTTAAAAAACAACAATGTTTAAAATAGGCCTTATCTTTTAATCTGTTTAATGTATGTGAGTTGTTTTTGTATAGTCTTGAATATTTTAAATTTTTACTATAATTGACTAATATTTGTTTTTTCAACTATTTTTAACTTTTTATTATGTGTAAATCGGTTCATTTTACAATTTATTTCAACCCAAAATTGATGAAACTTGTTTTTGTAGTATTCCCTAGTGGATGGAGAGTATGGTGAGTTTTCTCTTTTTTATTATTTTATATATCGTTTTGTTTCCAAGTTAACACACCTTACACCACATATTCTCCTTTCCACTAGGCGAGCCTGAAGATGAAGTGATGACACTTCGAAACCGGTCGCACTCGAATGTTTTGTTAAACAATTAAACATTGACTTTCCTTGTGAGATATAAAGGACTTTTTCTCACCCTTCACCTTAAAAAAAAAAAAGTTTTCCATATGGTTCCAACTTAAGTTGACACACTGTATAATAACGTAGAATTAAAACGTAATAACAAAAATAATTGGTATATTTGCGATTGTAATTTTCTTCATTTTTAGTTCGATAGAACTAATACTATAGAAATTAATGAATATAACTGGTTTCCTATCAATAGAAATAGTTTATTGACCACTTGCAATACAAAATAGTACATTTGAGTCATAAATTACAATTTACTATACGTCACAATGTCATAAATCACATTCATGTAAAATCAAAACATTACAGTTTAAAATAAAATTTACAGTCAATTAAAAATATACAATTTAAAAACCTAAAATTTCAAATTTACAGTCAATTAAAATATACAATTTAAAAACCTAAAATTTAAAATATTGTACCTCTATTTATTGCAGAAGCATATATATTCATGAACATCGTAAAAACATTCTTGGAGTAGCAAGTTTTTAATTAGTTTACTTAATGATTGTTCAGTCATTTGCTTTAGATCTTTGTCACAGTAATATTTCTGTAAAGCATTAAATAAACTTAAATCTAATAATTTGTTATTCTGTGCAGCGCAGATTCGTGAACGAAGAGATACGAATCCAGAAATGCAATAAATATATTCAACCTATAATATTCTTCAACTATATTAGCCTGAATATTATTTCTAGGAGATTGTTGTTCGTAATGCATATCTTACGCGTTGTTGATTAAGTCGTAAAAGCCAGGGGGGGGCAACTGCCCCCCTCTTGCCCCCCCCCCCCAAACGACGCCCATGCCTGGCCCGTAAATAAATAAACATATAATATATGATATCTGATGATGAATTCGGAATTTTCGAGAAAATTTGTATTGATTTCGGTGATTTCAAGTTAAAACTTTCCAGTATTTCAGAAATGGTTTACGCATTATTTATTTTATAGCGAATTTTTCTATTTATTTTCGCGTTCGATATCATACATTCTTTTTTTATAATCAATTGTTTTATTTTCAGAGATTCAGTCTGAGCACATGGTCAAAAAGCATCACGTTTATCTATTGCGTTCCGGACGAATCAGTATGGCTGGATTGAACCCCAGTAACGTGTATTATGTGGCTAAAGCTATTCATGAAACTGTCAGTTCGATGCCCAGCAAGATATGAATATATTATACCTATATACAAATTAAGTTTAATGTGTACAGCTACATAGAATTGTTTACATCAAATGTATAATAAATATTTTAATCATGTTAAAATTGTTTGTTTTCATTACAAATAGTAATAGTAGTTGAATTTAATCTCAAATATGTTGTCCTCTATGTTAAACTTAACAATTTTCTTATTTAATGAAACATTTTAATAACAATTTTAATAGCAATAATAACATTTTGTATGTTTATTTTTCTTAAAAAAATCCGATTTTTGTATTTTTTGTTGAATTGCTTAAATACAGACCATTTTAGGAAAATTATTAATAAAACAAGAATTATAGAGAACGACATCATAAGCAACTTTTATTTAAAAAATTTTCTTTTTCAAGCGTAAATAACATAACGACCCTCCCCAGATGTTCCGACTATGCCCAAAATCTAATCAGCTCACAATGAATTAAAGCTTAAGTTTTGAGTTTGGTGTTTTTCTGTTTATCTGTTCATGAGTTATCGAATATACACCACTGAACTATATATTAAACTGGAAGACCAAAGCCGATCAACAAAATCAAGCCGCATAGCGAGGTGATATTTGACACTTCGGCGCCAACATGTGCGTATCGAAATGTACTAAAGAGGATCATCAAAATTAAATTTAACACTTATTACATTCAACTAGACAACTTTTAATTTAAGAAAATCACTTAAAAATGATTTTTGATTAATACGCAGCTGAAACAAATGTTCCAATAATAATTATTATTAAAATAGGGCGTTATTAATAAAAAATAATATAATTTATCATAGTACGCCCGTGAAAAATGTGACGTAGAATGCTTAAAATTGACAGTCTGGCGCACAAATTGTCATGCGCACCGACCGTTTTTTTCACCCATGTCGGCTGAGAAAATAGGAGTAGGGTTTATGTCATATAGCCATCCAGTTTAATATCAAGGTCGGTGGTATACACAGATATCATTGCGAAGATAGTCAACACGGATTTAGGGAATCCCAAAACGTAAAAATCCGTTGAAAAAATAAGGATTCATAGACTTTCCCTGTCTATATACAGACAGGAAAGTAAAAAGGAGCCATTTGAATAAGAGGATGCGAGACTGAGTGACCGTTGAATGAAACAAAATACACCTCATCCTTGCGGCCTTTTTATTCATCCTCTTCCAATCGCAAAATAGCATATAAATCCATCGCAGTTGGTTAGCTCGACTTAAATATGATAAATAAGGAACTCTCGAGGTTAGTCTCAAGTCATTTACTTAAATGTCCTGTACATTTTAGAGTCCTCTACATTTCCACGTTGGTTCTTGCTGGATAATTGGTGTATCTTCATTTAATAAAACTTTTTGGAACACCCCCCAAGTAGCACATGACGGGTTTATAAAAGCTGTAAGAATATTCTTAAAGCAAATGTTTATAAGAGAATAAGATTTATAATTTTACTTGTAGATATTCTTACAGGCTTTATACAACTCTTATGAGCTTAAATTAGGCACCAAATTATAAATCAAAAAATCTGATGTGTCCAACACATGACTTTCCTATCTAGTTATTATAGGCTTTTTCCGGTTATTTTGTACAACCTATTGCAGCATCTCTATAAATGTTTAGAGGATAATCTAAATATATACATTGTCCACATACATCTACCTCGAAAAATTTTTCTATATTCATTGAAAACGAAAATACTGAAAAATTTAAATTTCCTACAATTTTTTTTTTCATTACGGTCCATTTTAGAAAAATCATGTATAAACAAAAATTATAGAGATCGATATCGCAAACAACTTTTTTTTCAAAAACTTTCATAAAAATCAGAATTTTGCACATTTTGTCAAATTTCTCGAATACGGACCATTTCAGGAAATTTTTACATAAATCAAAAATTATAGATAATAATACTAGAAGTAACTTTTATTTGAACAATTTTTTTCTCCAAACAATAACAGATATATTCCATAAAATATAAAAGTGGCCTCTTATAAAGTACCCCTCCAGATGTTCCGACTATGTCCAAAATCTAATCATTTCACGTCAGGCCGAAATAAAACTTAAGTTTGTGACGGCCCGCCCCCAGGCCCCTTCTTCTTATTTAATTTTATTCTTGTATTTACTTTACTCTCTTTGAAATGTTATTAATTACCTCACAAGTTTTACTTTACTTTAAATTCTTTAATTACTGTAATTTGGCCTTTTTCCTCTAGTAGTAGAAGTGATCGTCTAGTTAATTAATTGATATTTTATGTACCCACGTTGTGATAATGTTAATTAAGGTAAACCAGAATTCGATGCAAAGTTTGGTGCAAATTGATAAATAAAACATACAAATTCATATTTAAACTCTATGTATTTTTCATACTTTAAATGTGATGCAATAATTAGCAAAGTATATTACAATTGTTACTTTTTACTGAGATCTCACTTGAGTCCCGTTCAAACGCAGACCATATTCATTTGCTATCAATATATATCCTATTTAGGTTGATGACCAACAGAGTTAACAAACAGCGTCAATTCGCCAGTTGATTAACTATAGTGTTGTTGTTTATATTCTTATCTGATGACCAACGAAGTTAACGAACAGCGTCAATTCGCCAGTTGATTAACTATTGTGTTGATGTTTATATTCTTATTTAGGTTGATGACCAATGAAGTTAACGAACAGCGCCAATTCGCCAGTTGATTAACTATTGAGTTGATGTTGATTTGATTCTATTGTAGATATATACAGGTTGCACCCTCTTAGGTAAATATTACGATGAGTATAGAGGTGATGATCAACGGAAGTAACAAACAGCGCCAATTCGCCAGTTGATTATCTTACTATGTTGATTTCACATATACTTTGTTTCAAACCTTGTAGAACGGGTTGCTTAGCGTATAGGTGTCCCCCCTTGAGCTAACGAACAGCGTATTCGCCAGTTGGTTAACTTACTATTAAATTTTACCATCTTGGTTTGTACAATTTATCCAAGATAGCACAACCCTGTATATTTCCAAAATATTGATCTTTATAATTTCTATTGATATGACTTAATACAACCCTGTATGTATTTTAATATTGATTATTATAATTTCTATTGATATAACTTAATATAACCCTGTATATTTCTTAATATTGATTATTATAATTTCTATTGAAATAACTTAATATAACCCTGTATATTTCTTAATATTGATTTTTATCATTTCTATTAAAATACTCCAAATTTCACCAATCCAAAACAGATGTTATCCTATCTTTCGGGGTGTATGACCTGAAGGCCATGTGGTTTATTGGTTAAATTGATAATATTTTACAGCAAATGTCAGGCCGCCCTTAAACGAAACCGGGGTGGTATCTCAAAGAAGGTTAAATAAATCTTTTGACTCACCATTGAAAATACAGACATTAAATTATGTACTAATTTCATCTAGCGTCGTGGAAGGCGTCGATGTAGGTACGTCGCAGGGTTGGGCGTCGAGGCGTCCATCGTCGAGACGTCTAGCGTCGTGATGAAAGGGAAGGTATTTAATACGGTACTGTATTGGGACAGATATACGGTAGAATTAAGTAGGTGGTGCGGGACGTGATATTATGAAGGAAATAATTATGGACGGCAAAGCGTCGGAAATAAGGCGTGGGACGTTGAGCGTCGAAATGAGTGTACGGTAGGAAATACTTAGATGGTGAGGAATGTGACAGCGTTCGAGACGTAGGGAGTAGGATGGCAGGAAGTTGGGCGTCGAGACGTTGACACCGTCGGGGATAGGAGGTATTGTAGGATAAACGTCGTTTAGGAGGAGCGTTTAGGAAAGGTACAGATTATATAACTGGGTACAGATAATAAAATGTATGCTTGCACATCAAATGATAAAAATTGAATGAATCCGAGCTCATTTTCGTCAGACTTTTTATACACAGTTTAATCGTTTCTGTGACGTCTCTATCGTTTTGTTTCTCATAGAAAATACGAATGTAGGTGCAAAAGGGGGTGGGTTATTTATTACTTGACTTGAAAGTTTTGTGTATCTAAATATTGTCGATATCGGTCTGAACATCGAAACTAGGAAAATAAGCGACTTAAGTGTTTTAATGATAATTACTTCGTAAACAGAAATACACTTTATGGTGTTTTCTTTCTCGAGGAACTCAGCCACGTGCATCTTTTACGGACGTGGTTATAGATATTATTTATTAGGTGTCGTAAATAAGATTTAATTATCTGGGAGATTTTTCGTTTACTGTAGCATTTTGAATTTAAAAGAATGTAATATGGTATTTAATAAATGGAATTAATAAATTATTAAGGTACCTGGGTGCGGTAGGTTACAAGTTTAAAATTTAATGTTTTTTTCTTTATCCGTTTTTGAGTTTTCTTCAAAATTCGAAATTTACACATTTTCTCAAATATCTCGAATACGGTCCATTTTAGAGAAATTATGTATAGAATAAGAATTATAGAGAATTATATTACAAACAACTTTTATTTGAACAATTTTTATAAAAAAATATTTTTTTTACATTTTGTCAAATTTCTCGAATACGGACCATTTTAGGAAAATTTTGTATAGAACAAAAATTATAGATAATTATATTATAAGTAACTTTTATTTCTCCAAACGTAAATAACAGATATATTCTATAAAATATAAAAATGACCACCTATAAAGTACCCCCCCAGATGTTCCGACTCTGCCCAAAATCTAATCAGTTCATCAGACGCTGGAATAAAGCTTAAGTTTAAAATTTGGTGTTTTTCTGTGTATCGGTTCATGAGTTATGCGACCTACAGACACACACACACAGACATCATCGCGAAAATAGTCAAAACGGATTCAGGGGACCTCAAAACGTAAAAATCCGTCGAAAACTCGAGGTCGAAAAAAATCATGATTCCTATACTTTCCTTATATCTGTATACAGATAGGAAAGTAAAAAGTTGTTTAGTTTCCTTATAAATGCTTTATTAATGTGCCGCAAAATATAATCAATATTATTTGTAGATACTTACAAGGGTTTAATAAAGCAATCTCAAATAGCATTTTAAAGACACATTATTTGCAACCAATTTGGAACCGTAAACACTTTGACGCCACATTTATAAGAAACCTTTATTCGGAACCTTTAAAAAGCAATAAGACTTATAAGTAATTTTATCCTCCTTTA